AAATGTCACATACACATGCTGTGCCGGGCACATAATTCGGAATTGCTGTTAATACGCTTGTAATATGTTATATAAAATTAACGGAACCAGATAGATACAAGCAGCAATTGCAATTTGATGACAGGACGCAAATTTTGTTTGAAACACAATTGTATGCACTACATAAAAGAAGTGAAAATGTTCGCGGCTGAATGCCAGGCCCTGTGGAGTTGTAACTGGGAGAGATATAAAGCTTCCAATCCTAAAGTTTTCAGCCTTAAGCATAAATCCGGGCCGCTGTAATGAGCAACAGATTTGTGGCCGCAATAGATATCAATTTTGAACCAGCTGCAAAAAAATGGGCAGAAGGAATTTTAGCACTTTTATTCATTAGGTGAAAAAGTAACATGCCTTACTGCTTGAAGTAATGCTGCGTATTTAAACCAACACAAGTCAGCTTACAAACTTTTTCTTAGAATGGTCGTGAGTTCCTCAAAACCTATTGATACCTAGAAGTTTACGCAAAATTACCCGTATTTGAATTTCGAACGTTAGTAAACGTGCTTCAATACCCTGTTGATGTATTAGGTGTTCTGAGGTTAGCGATGCATCGGCGGTTTCATTAAACCGATGTAAGTGTTGTTGAAATGTGTGGTTGTTCCCGAAATGTTGTCGGTTACGTTGTCGTATTAAACGGGAGATTCGTTTGGCTGTCTGACCATTGGGTTCTGTGGATTAATATATTGGTGTCTGCCATTTTATTATCTTGTTCATTACCGTTGTTGGATGAATTGATCGAGATCAATTTGCGCTTTTGCCTTAATATTAAAATACTATTCTGATATCCCGACTCCCTGTAGGCGCGTGATACAATCGTGTATTAAAGTGGCTCAAACGTTGCCAAGTATATAAATGGTATAAAGGCACTCAAATTAAGAAGCTAATGAGTAGCGGTGGGTTTGCACGGTATATTTAGAAATTCAGCACAACCGGTTGCAGTAAGCCAGCCATCACACTCTACGGCCATTTAATCGTTTCGGGAATAGTCAGCATTTCACGCACCAACTAAACCCTGGGCAACTCGAACTCATAACTAGACTGGTGCCGGACTATGGTTAGGGCCACTGAATTGTGATGCGTTTCTAATAATTAGTTAAAGAGCACCTGAAATTCAATTCAAATCGTACATCTACTGCTCATTTGCAACATATGCAACAATACCCAATCAATGGCTGTCAGGGGACAAATAACCATCGTTGTGTGACGCCACTTGAGAACAAAACTTGCCCACTTATATCTCCTCGGCTACTTATGCTTTGCTCGCATTAGATAGTATTGGTTATATTAACTCTTTGACGTACTGTTTAACTATTTAAATTAGCTCAGCTATTAGCACGATAAGACACGTTAACTTGGAACTGAACGAACGAGCTTGCATAAATTCATCAAGAATTGTTATTGGTACCTTGGTAAAATAACTGAAGGAACCCAGCTTATTTGTGAAATAGCATTAATACGGTTGATAGAAATCTCTTTACGATTACAGTGGACCAATGCGACTGCCCAACCTAAAGTAGACATTTGGATGGAAATCAGCTTCATATAACCAGCAGCGTCATCTACCAGGGGCTAGTTTGCGGTTAATATGTATGATCGTAAACTGCATACTAAGGAGGGAAAACCAGTTGGGATAATATAAGGGCATTCCAATGCCGATTTCAGCCACATTTTCTGGGCCACCGTTCACAATGCTTAGAGTAACTTAGCAACCTTTTTTCTGGCACAGGAAGTCAAGCGTTAGTTCTGTCATAAAACGGTTTAAGAGTTTCCTGTAGTGAATCATTTAAAACAGAACTCACCTTCTGATGACACTACATCACCTTCCGATTGAGAGCCAGGGGTCGCAGACACTAGAAAGACAAGAGTAAACACATAAAGTAGCTTCGCGTTACTAAAGGGCATGGATAATCAACGAATAATACACGCAGTCAAGATAGTGATTTCCTCGGTTTCTACCACGGTGGATTGCTGTTTATTTGGAGTGTAATAGCTTAGCACGTTTACAACTCTCCACTTGTAGTGCTTCAATGTGTGGCAAAGCCACGGATATCTTTTTTCTTCCGTGAAAATATTTACGATATTTTACTGTACAATTGCTCCAATTTTTTCTTGACGCTGATTGTAGAATTTTATCATTAGTCTTTTCCTTATAGATAACAAAAAATATTTTGGAGACTTTCTATACTTTCATGTATATTATTGCTACTATTTCCATGTTATATTTGTCTTCGTAATGGCAGATGCGCTTTTGTGTCCCATCGCCAATTTGAGGTAAGAATGCGAAAAATGTCGCTTGCAAGTATATGGTACCCAATAGAACTTTCTCCGAACTTACCCATGTAATAATCTGCCTCAATCCTGTCTGTTCCGTTCCCATTTATTTCAGCAAATATGACCATCATTGTATTTGTTGTAGAAGTCAGTGATACGAGACGTTTTTCTGAATCTCCGTTTGCGAAATAGACAACCGGTGCACCACAATCGCTTCCATCCAAAATACGTAGCCAGTTCCTTGGGTAACTTAGCTGGAAAAATGCAATATATCTCTCCTGAAAATTTGTTGCAGACTGGAAACGAATACACGATTTCAACTACGGTTAACTTTGCAGCACTTATTTATTACTTTAGATATTGGCAGGTTATTGATGTGCCAAGTGCTTTACTTTCCAGCAACCGCAAACCTATACAGTTTGCCTAGTTATAAAATTGATTTCCGATTTAACGAATTCGTAGTGTAATGCATGCCACACTGCCGTACTCTGGTTGTAGTGTAGGGACGCTATATGTGTAATTGTCAATAAGTTATTAAGAACGTACAGATAACTTCGTTAGATTGAAAGTAAGCATTTTGCCATATTCGACCGTAATTCTCCAGATGCATAGATGGTTGACTCCTCCCTTTCCTTCATACAACAGCTTTCCATTTATTGCTTTTATGTCTTCGCCACATCGTTCTGAAATGGATGTACTGAAGGATCAATACACGGCGCATGTCGCTTCATTCAATTTAATGTGTATGCGTTTGTGGTTGTGTATAACACACTAACTGATACTTGTTTGTTCTTTGGATGTATTATATCCCACTTTTAAGAACCCTGATGCTTTGACAGTGCAAACTCGTTAAAAGGCACATGACAAGCATTGACAGTGGGACCAAAATGATCTTTCTGCCCAAGTGAGTAAACAATAGCCATGAGACGTATAGCTACTACGGCATAGCTGACAATAAAAGTTGTCAATTCCAAATCGAAACGAGGCGTAAACGACAACTACAGGAACGCGCAGTTCCTATTGTATATCTATTTACGTACAACTCTATGGACTTCCGTAAAACCATCAGCGAGTAAGGAACTCACCCAATATTTTATTTTCCGCTGCAGATTAATAGAAAATCACGTGGTTAGAAAGTATCGCAAATGATAACATAAATGGTGAATAAAGATTTAAAAGCGCTGTCTGTCCCACTGGACAATAAAGGCCTCCATACATCCCTCCTATGCATTTGTCCAGTTGTGAGCTCGCAACCATTATGGAGGGAATTACTTGCAGTGCAGTATTTCCTACAAACACTAATTATTTGCCCGTATGGCAACACAATAGGATTCACAACGTGGCTGAATGAAATCTCTGTCAGACGCATTCTATTTTGGAGTCTACTTAGCCTCTCTGCCAACTAGAGATATCTTTGACAAACAATGAATGAAACCCAAGGTAATTTACAATGTCTTCCATCAAAAATAAAACAAATGCTAAATAAGTTAATCGGGAAATATACTTTATGCAAGGTCATGCGAACTTGGACAACTCATTCGCTATCATAATCATAACCATTGAAAGCCGGTGCATCTAGAGGCGGAAGCCATCATTTCAACCAGCAGATTAAGTGCTTAATAATAATAAAATAGGGTGCTAATTGGCTAAGTCTACCTGTAAATACCAGTCAAGGCAGAATATGACTAGCACACACTTTGAAATAAAGTTGTTCTTCGAAGCTTTGCGCATCAATACATGAACATATTGATGATGATGATGGCCTGGAAGAACGTGTGCGCCGCAATAGCAATCATAGGTTCAAGATAATTGGTCAAATTATGTGGATCGATTTAAATTCGTAATGAAAGACCAACTTAAATCCATACACTATTAACTAATGTCGGCTTCTACATGTATTCAGATAATCATGCATTGGGATAGTGTGCTATGAGTTCAGTGGAGTTTAATAGACCATAATTTTAATCGGAAAATAAAAGTTGCAATTTAATGCAAAAATTAGAGAACAAATGAACTCACGAAAAGGCGGAACCGGTTCTGTTGGGTTTATGGTACAAAGATGTAGATTTGTTACTTGTTTTAGACACGCAAGTCGCGTATAATGCAAGGAAGAGAACTAGCGTGTATTGGGTATTCTTGTCTGAATTCAACAAATCTGCCAAGCTATTGGCTTGATATGTAAATATCGTTTGCATTTATAAAGCTGTCCACGTCAGTACAAGGTGATTAAATTACACATTGCATAAGCACCGTACCCAAAAACGTGCGTCAATCCGAAATCCATGGATAAAGCTACTTACCAGATCTGCTCACTGAAAATGTAAAGATAAAGAAAAAGCAATTATATGAGCATACACACGTTAAAATATTCGACTACGATCTGCTTGTGCAGAAGCATTAATCTTTGGAAATGGTGGTGTCTTGCCGATGGAGACATGATGATTTCTGATTGTTCGCATATGCAAGTTCTATTTGAGTTAGACAAAGCAGTAGAGGGTAGCAGACGCCCTTATATTTGCTCGCACCTGTGTGGGTCAATCAGTTTGACAAGCGTGCGAAAGCTTTTGTACTGTTGTTTTTCCCCGCAAGCTACCCTAAGTTGAACTCACGGTTCTACTCATTTAACTCGTACATTGAATGCTACGTCTACCTGCACGGTACAACAACCTACAGGTGAACAAATTAAATACTATTTTGTGAATGAAGATACTGCCATGTCATATGAAATTTAATAACATTATATTTGGATTAGAGAAACGCAAAGCATTCTTCTTTTTTAACTGTAGTGTAGAAGATAACGGCCACGATTTGCTTAATGCCGATTCATAACAATATCCCTGCGAACGTGACTGCCATGATCATGGTTTACCGTAGTTAACAGACGCTAATGAAGGTTTGTTTCAGGCAATGGAGTTCGGTTATCAACCTATGCAAATGACTTCAGATTCGAGGGAAATCGCTAAATTAAGTTGGAGGTTCCTGCCGCAGCTTTGCAAACATTACAGTACAATTGTTCAAACGCTTATCAATAGTAGCTACTAATCTATTCTAACTTGCAGATTTAGGTGCGCACATCCGGGGAAATAAATAAAGGCATCCACAGATTCTTATGCCTCGATTTCACGAGGCTACGAACAGTTGTACGCAATCCAGATAGGCCAAGTTTGTCCGCAACGATGAACCGATGCGGAGGATAGTTTCGTAGATGCTGTCCAGACACTGCAAAGTGCATTGCAACGTTGAACAATGAACACTAATTTATCAAGGGATAAAAGCGGGTGCTTGACACGTCCCGTACGATGTTTGCGGTGAATATGATGAAATCAAACTATGTCTGGGTCATCTATTGCACTTCTACCAAGATGAATACTTTGATACTTAAAATCAGTGTAAAAGTAATAAAAATTATCGAACTTAAACGTTCATAAAGACACTGAAGTGCAGTGATCTTTGATGAAAGGAGTGAGGAAAGTAAAATATGGTCGCTCATTTAGGTCCATTTGATACATAAATCCTGTTGAAAAGCATGCTTGCCGTAATCCACAATAGAGGAGTTTAGGTAACAAAATGCTGGGAGCTAAGAGTAACATGTACTCGTTTTTTTAAAACATGCAAGGTAGAAGAGGATACAACTGAGTCTGGGAGTGCTTTCCAGGGTTGGCAAACCCGAAGGGAAAAGTAATTCCGTCGACACTCTAGACGGCTATATTGTTCCTTCAACTTTAAGCGCTTACCCCTGAGCTGCGTGTTGTGGCTTTCAGCATATTTGGTTGGGGTCACTCAGTATCTGATGCGCTAATATGAGATCGCCACACAGCTTTCGATAGCGTCCGCTGAAAATTCCCAGCAACTTCAGCCTTCTGTGGTAAGATTGATAGCGCAGGCCCTTAACATTCTTTGTCGCTCTTCGTTGTGCTGCCTCTATCGCTTCTACGTCGCGCTTCAAGCAAGGTTGCCAAACTTGGATAGCGTATTCAATATGCGGGCGTAGGTAGGAATTGTGCATCATTGGGAAGATATATAGGTCAAATCTGCCTTATGCTCTTCGCAGCATGCAGACGTGCTGGTTGCCTCTTTTCGCAGATACCTCAGCCTGTTTTGAACAGTTGCGATCCCTCTGCACGATCACACCGTGGTCACATTCCTGGGAGCATTTTGCAATCCGTTTGTTTTAAGTAATAGGTGTAGTTATGTATATGGCGTAATTGTACAACGCGACATTTGTCTACGTTGAACGGAAGGGCGTTTTGAACTGACCAGTTCAAGCTTGTTTTAAGATCGCACTGGAGCCGTTCATGGTCGTCCGGTCATTTGATCCTTCGCCATATCTTGAAAGCATCAAGAAAGCATAAGAAATCGGAAGTAATTGATCTCGCCAAATCGTTAATGAACACCAAAAATAGACGAGGTCCAAGAACCGAGCCTATGATAACTCCACACGCCACATCGATTGCATGAAAAAATGATACTCGGACTCTCATCACTAGCCGTCGCTCTTTTAGAAAATTGCCAATCCAACTCAGAAATGGGTCGCCAATGTCGTAATTCCGAGGCTTCTGAAGAAGAATGCGATGGTTTAAGCGTTCAAACGCTTTTGAGAAGTCCAAGTAGTTGACATTGACTCCTACTCCATCATCAATATCTTCAGTCCAGCTATTACGTACAATTAATAGGTTAGTAGTACACGAATGCTTTTGACGAAAGCCATGTTTCTCATGGGCTATTAAATTGAGCTTTCCAGATAATGCATCAGGGTGTCTGCGATGATTGATTCCATCACTTCGGACAGTACGGAAAGTAGTGTTATTGGACGGTAGTTGGCAGGATCAGGGCGGCTACCTCCTTTATGGATAGGAGTGATGACCCCTCGCTTCCATACTGGTGGAACACGGTTCCCTTGTTGACATCGCTGATAAAAGCAGCCAGTGATTCTAATAGATCACTAGCTACCGCTTGCAAAGACGTTGGTTGGATGTTGTCAGCTCAGGCAGAACTGTGGATACGCAAGGATATCAACATCTTCAACACAGCTTCCGTAGTGTCGGTGATGTTCTCTAAACCAGATGGTGGAGTATTAGCAATGAGGAGAATGTTCGGGCTCGGTACTTGTTGGAAAGGTTGGGAGTAATGAAGCCGTAGGAGATCAGCGGCTTCCATTGCTGATCGCGTGCACCTACCAACCGTGACTAGCGCTGTAATCCACGCTTTACCTTTCGAAGGCCGTTAAGGTGCCTGTACAGGAGTTTGCGGTTAGTTCAGAAGCGATTCATTAACTTCTTCTGATGAGTGACTTTGGCTTCGGGGATCAGTTACACACAGAATTTACGATGTGTCACGTATGCAGTCCAGGTTTCGGCATTCGGGCAGTCCTGGTGATCTCGCGATGCCAAATCCCTCCAGGACATACATTTACGTGTTCTGCTCCTCAGGAATGACTTACGCTTGTTTTTGGGTTGAAAGGACTTATGTTCTGCTGCTTGCGCTACCAGTGTGCTAAACGTCCTTGTAAATGTTTCCCAGCTGCCTCTGGGGGGCATTAGGTTAAGAAAGTCCATGTTGTATCTTTACCAAGCTTAGACAACACATTTTAGTGCGTGACAGTATGCACCTTATCTTCCTCCCTTTTCAGGGCACTCCGCATAGCATATATAGTCAAAGAGTAGAGTAACATGATCACTACGACCCAATGGTGTGCTTGTAACTATCCCGTCAACCATGAGTGCTTCGTTAGTTAGCACAAGATCCAGTATCGACAAATTGTTAGCAGTTCGAAATCTGGTGGGAGAGGTTACGTGATTGTAAAGATGGAGGCTAGCAATAAGCTCTTGCAAGCAGGCTTTGAACTGCATACCGTCGGTTGCCGGCGCTTCTATATCGTGCACGTTAAAGTCTCCCGCGATAAGAATGTGGGTGTAGGACTTGTTCAAAGCAAACTGAAAAACGTGGTTCAGTTTGGAGTCCATTTCCGACGTTGAGTTTGGTGAGCGATAAATCACGGCTAGTAGACACGTATCCTTGTTTCGCAACCATAGGAGGCGGGAGCTCGGATTTCCGGGTGATCGATAACTTCACGTCGGAGGTTTGTAGTACCGTAAATAATCACACCGCCACCCCTTCCGATTCTATCGTTCCGAAGCAGCGACATGTCGGGTAAATTGATCTCAGATTCGGTTATCTCAGGGTTTAACCATGTCTCTGTAAACATGAAGTTGCCCCGCGGTTGTAAAGCACGGATTTCTCTAAGTTCGGCCAACTTGCTTAGAAGGCCCTGTGCGTTTGTGTACACGCAAGATAGGGTTTTGTTGTTAGGAGTTCATTGATGGATGTCAAATTTGCATTAGATTTTAAGCCGGCCGTTAGGTGGCGGCTATTAATCCTTTTTTGGTTGATGTATTTCAGTCATACTGCATGGCATTATTAAACGTTCCTGAACAGACGTCTCACTCGTGCTGTGCTCCGTCCTCCTGTGTGCCGTGGGCGCTGTTGTGTCGGTCTCTGCGCAAGACTGTGCAAATGAAGAATTTGTTGCGTTTGCAAGTTCCATTGGATTGTTTCCTACTTTTGGTCGTTTGCCTCGTGCCTTTAGCCGGATCTCTGTTGGCAAGCTAGCTCTAATCTTTAACCAGCTATCCAACACAACTTGCGTCATTCCCTCGGAGTGTAGTATTACCTTCATTAGCCTTGGACCGCAGTCCTTGTAGTTAGGTGATGACGGAACTCTAGTCCAGAATCTGTCAATAAAATTGTCAACAGTAAGTGCTACGCGGATGTAGCACCACTGCTCTCGTTCATATGTTTGTGCGCCGTGATCAGAAGAACGCAGAAGCTCAGGAACACCATGAACAAATATTGTTTTCTTGCTATCCCTATTAGCAATGCCGCGTTGCTCAACTGCTTCTTTTGGGCGATAGGTAGTATGCACACTCCCCTCGGTGAGTTACGAAGACAAACTGCTGAGAACAGGACAACCTCTGTGTCATATGCTGAGTTTATTGTTACTCGGAGAATTCGCCGTTCACCAGAGTGCACTGAGGTCGGGTGACACGCTATGCGTTGCAGCATTGTAGACTAAAACCGAATGCCAATCGCCTCGCAGATGAAACTCCACTGGTTGCGATCGTCTTGCAACTTGCATTCTTTCATGCTAGATTTGGATTCGGGAACATTGGTGCACATGCGAGTTAACGCAGCGTGGTTTGTCCATCGAGTGTTGGCTTTATACTTTTGCCGGCAATTCAGGTTGTTTAGAGGGCACCACTGGATTTGACGGTGAAAGCTGCTTTGCGTCAGGCGTGCTCGTTACTGAAGATGGACCTATGTTTGTCCCTCCCGGTGTGTTTGTCGCGGCAATCGATGCGTACGTTACCTGCTTGTTATCTGCACCGGATTTCCTTCGGCTCTGAGCTGTCGATGTCATGGCTGAATCTCCAAGTGAAGAGTCTATGGTTGGAAAAGTGGAAGCAGGCATGTTTGAGGCTTGCCCAATTATGGGAGTGAGGTGACCCGGTGGATTTAGAGTCACAGACGCTGCAGTGCGGTTGGAGCGTCTAGCTCTTTTCTTCGGTTTAGACTCAAAGCTTACTTTGGCCGGGTGAGATATTACTGTGGCCTTATTTACATCCGATGGAGCGATCTGGGTATTTACAAATTGCGCGATTATTTCAGTCATCCTATCGCATTTTTTCATGAGCAAAGATAAACAGTTGACAACTGGAATGACTTGGCATGTCGAGGCAAAACCCAATTGCGTCAGCGACTTGGTTTGTCTGTCTTACTCCTTGGACAGTAAGCTCTAATACAGAGAGAACAGGGAATACTGATCTTAAGGAATTTACTGCAAATGACTCCGCAACATAGGCGACGTTGAACCATTGGAATCCTAGTCATCCTCTTATTGTTAGGATAGAGCAGACCCGCAGCTGTGCGCTTCGGATACAGTTCAGCCAATCCAAATGGTAGCGTTCGAACTGTTTTGGTATATATCCTACCAATACTGGCACACTACGACCGCGGTTTAATCCTGGCTTGGACTCATCAGATGACGATGGCCTGAGGTTAGGTGGAACTCAGTGACCAGTAGTTCACGGCTCACGCCGAGAACACTATGCTACTGAGATCTGCAGGCAACGCTCGACACTGTAGTAAAGAATTCAAAGTTGATCTTTGGGAACCCACTGTGTGATTGGGTTTCGACACGCAACCTCGGATGAGACCTCAGTTCGCTTTGAGGTCGACCTTGGTCATTCCGATGGCTAGGGAGGTATCCGAAATGGAAATGTTTCGACGTTGCTCCTTGCAACACTGGCACACCACGACCGCAATGCGTTTCTTTAAATTAACCCGTCTGTGTGAATGTATAAATCCAGCCACATAGTGTATACACCAAACCCAACAAATGACCGATGGATTTAGGTTACAACGCAGACGACTCATATCCTCCCGTGACCGGCGGTACTGAACAACCTCATGGCAGATTTGACAACTTCGCCAATAAACTACAACTAAACTACAAAACAACTAATGCTACAAGGTCACTTACTGACATGTTTAAGGGCGCTTGATCTGATTTCATTTTAAATATAAAAGTGATTTGCATGTTGCGTTAGATTTAGGCTAAACAAGAGCAGGAGACCGCAGATTACTGAGTAGATGCAAAAGCATGAGCATCATGTGTATGGCTTAGCCTTCTGAACAAAAAGCATTCAAGTATATCAAGTAATATGTGTTTTCAAAACGCTGAGGGCAACATTCAACTTCCTTTTGCCTCGTCAGTTACACTTGGTTGTCGAATTGATAAAGGTTTACTTCAATGCGAATCACGGTCTAGATTAATATTGAGCGTCACAACCGAATCACGCAACCTGTACTTTAAAATTGCCCTCCAGTCAGTGTACAAACCTGTTGTAAATTTGGCGGCAAATGCGCCAGTTTGAGTGTTGATATCTGAGGTGAAGAGCGCAACCATGCTATTGCCACTGGAAATGTAGCTTGGAGTGCTGATGTTAACCACGGCGGCAATTCTCTGGGACATGCAGTCCACACCGTCGAATAACACGATAAAGTCGACCAGTGAATTATTCCATCTCTCTAACTGTGGGAGAGGAAGAAAATAAATAAGGTTAGTTAAAAGAATTTGGTCAATTTAATTGTTGTACCTGGCGTAATGATTATGCACATCAATTATTTTAGTGCTTATGCTTAAGCTCAGCAGGGTTGTTCTGACTACTTGAGCTGGGATTGCTGGACGTTGTCATTTGTCCAGTTAGCTAGTATAGACTGCCACATATAATCGATTATCATTAGCCAAATGAGTATTTCTCACCGTACTCGAACCTAGTATAAACATATTTGCTAACTTTTGATTGCTTTGTGAGGTACGCATGACTTTAAGTCATAACTTCAGGTCAGACACCAGCTGTACATGTTTGACAATGATTGAACCATTACGCTGTAGTCAACATCGATTGAATAAAGCTTACTTCGGCCTCAAGCACAGGTAGGATTCTAAAGACAACTGTGCAGTGCATTCAGAAGGAAGGATCAGTATATAAACATAGTAGCAAAATACTATGAAGTTGGGGATGAGGATAGACAAACCGAATGTACCCGGTTGATTTTTATAATATGTATAGTTTGAAATTAGCGAAACCCGCATTTACATGTGTTATACTCGCAGCACATGGTTAACAACTATTGCACGCAGCAAGATTGATATGTTTTATCATATTTGCTCAATCTTTAAGAAGCTGCCTTCTACCTATTGACCTTTAATTTACTAATGATGGATTTGAGATTTGTGTAATGCATCATACACACTCACACACTCAAAGAAGATCCATTAGTTAGTCACTACCTGCTTCGAAACACACAATGTTCGAATGCCTCCTTCTGCAAACACGTGCACATTATGACATGTATTAAATGCTGAAACATAAAAAATCTGTTTAGACTTCACTGAACAAGTAATATTTCCGGAGAAAATGAGGTCATTCGCTTATTTCATTAGGAATATTCACAGTAAATGAAAAATATCGCACAGTTCATCTTTTAATATAAACAACAGGGTTCAAGTGTCCCAAATAAAGTAAGGTACTTACTTCAACTTCGGTGAATGTTAGGTTGACTTGACGGTTGGACGGAAGTTGGATGGCATAATTGCAGAATTCCGAGGTCGTATAGTTTTCTGGATAACCTGGGCTGAGCAGTTGACCACTTTCATTTCCGATGAAAGTTTGACTGCAGGAAGCATCGCGCGAACTCGCTAAAACAGACAGCACAAGTACATTTAAAAGGTTAACATTATGACGACATTACGGCAATACTAATGATTTCAATAAAAGTTCAGATACAGAAAGTAAAATATTGGAAACGAAACAGCAAGCATGCTAGTGGTTGTTCATGTAATAATCGCATATAAGATCCTGGTGCTAATTAGAAGCAGTTAGCGTGAGAGCAGTCTGACACGAGTGCATTATTTCAAAGCCAGTGGTATATGTCATCAATTCAGATAGAGCAAAAGTCATGAAATTATTTCGAATTGGCATAGTCATTCGCTGAGTTTGAAGCCACAGCAGCTAGTACTGTTCACACAGTAATTCCTCAAATGAGTAAATGGATTTTTCTACCACTTCCGAGAAAACATTCACTGTACATTTGCAGAGTAACTACATGAGTAATGAAGTCCGAACTTCTTGCTTCAAACTTTTCCTTATGCAGAACAGTTGAGGTCACTCACCTACTGGTTTAGCATTTAGGAAAATCAGGTTCTTGTTTTCACCTAACTCAGGTGAAGGCTTGAAATATACCTGAGACTTTGTATCTCTCAAAGACTAGTTAATGCTACATATAAACGAAGTCACAGTAGTTAGTGGTGTGACATTGTGACCCAAACGAATCAACGCCTGAACGGAGAATCTGTGTTCCCGGTATTACGAGCGGTTTTGTCACCAGCGTTGCTCATCCTGTTGCTTGCATGAGAGATCCAAATTTCTGAATCCACCGACGCAAACTTTACTTAAAACGTACATTCTAAAGCGGATCCTAATGGTCGATAGTTTTGCCACATTTCATCCTATACTGTGCTCTCCGTCTCTGCGTTTTAAAAGATACGGCTTAGCACGAGTGCGATACTATGCCATGCTTGAAGTATTTGACCAGGTGTGACAAAGTTCTGACAGATAATTGGATTGTGGTTTAAAGCGATGTGTAGTTGAGCTGATCTGCTTCCTCATTGGTTTCAAGATAGCAATCTCCATTTATCTGAACTCGCAAGGTGGTAGTCGCGAACGTTTCTGTGAGGCAGGGTAACTAGTGCTGCTGCTTATGATGGCCATAATAACTTGAAGTTTAATGCTTTGAAAGATAGTAGGTGAGTCAAATGCTGGGTTGGATCTTTTAAATTGTCCGTGAAACCTTAATTGACATGCTACTCTTGCGAAGTACTTGCTTTGAATTAGGACTACGTGGGAGCCTAGGTTTGTCTGTTTACTGTTACCTTTAAAATACAACTTGCTTCACAAGCGAAGCGGACAGATTC